GGTTGACTCCCACAAAGGGAGCCCAGACTGTGACTTAGGCCCACTCCCCAAGGGGAGCAGGGAGCAGGTAGTAGGACATCCCCTAGGGCTCCCAGTATGTGATAGGGGGCAAACTGGGCTGAGGGACCCCCCACCCCCGCCAGTGCACAATTTTTTGTGCACCGGGCCTCTAGTCAGTGTATAAAGGTCAAGGTACTGGTATTTATTATTTCTGTAATTACGTGGCACTGATATTTGCATTTGTGTGAAATAACCTTTCAGTTACATAGCTATGTTACCCTGAAACTGACTTACTGTTTAAATTTTAAGTAATTTGTTTATTTTACTTAAAGCATAATTTACATACCTTAAAGTTATCCTTTTAAGTGTACAGTTCTTTGAGTTTTGACAAATGAATAATCAGTAACTAGCACCACAATCAAGATACAGAACAGTTCCATCATCCTCCTAAATATCCTCATGCTCCTTTGTAGTCAACCTTGCCTCCAGGCTCTGATCAGTTTGCTTTTGTCTTTTTGAGAATATCATATAAATGGAATCATAGAATATACTAGATGCCAGATGCACAAAATTCATGCAAGGGGCTTGGCCCCCGCTGTTGCGGAGGCTGCCTCTGCCTCGGCCCCTGCCACTACGGCTTCGTCCAGAAGGCTGTCTGGAAGGACCTCCGGTCTAATTAGCATATTATGCTTTTATTATTATAGATAACCTTTAAGTCTGGCTTCTTTCACTTAGCATGATACGTTCCTTTTTATAGATGAGTAGTATTTCACTGTATGGATGGTACCATGTTTGTTTATCCATTCACCAGTTGAAGGACATTTGGGTTGTTTCCAATTTTGTTTTCCAAGCTACCATAAATCTTTGCATACAGGTTTTTGAGTGAACATAAGTTTTCATTTCACTTGGGTGAATACCTAGAAGTGGGATTGCTGAGTCATATGGAAACTGTATATTAAACTTTTATAAGAAACTGCCAAACTAGTTTCCGAAGTGGCTGTGCCATTTTGCATTCCCATCAGCAATGTATGAGAGATCCAGTTGCTCTTCCTCATTTGAACTTGTTATGTTCAGTTTTTAAAAAAAACTTTTAGCCATTCTAATAGGAATCTAATTATTTTGCCTTTGTGGTTTAATTTGCATTTCCCAATAACTAGTGATTTTGAGCATTTTTCCATGTACTCATTTGCCATCCATATATTTCCTTTGGTGAAGTGTTTATAAAAATCTTTACCATTTTTACTGGGTTATTTGTTCTCTTTTTGTTGAGTTTTGAGAGTTTTTTTTATATATATCCTAGATACAACTCCCTTGTCATATAAAAATTTGCAAAAATTTTCCCAATTAGTGATTTGTCTTCTCTTAACAGTGTCTTGTGAAGAACGTAAGTTTTCAATTTGATAAAAGTCCAATTATAAAGTTTTTCCTTTTTGGATTGTGTTTTTGGTTTCACATCTGGGAAATCTTTACCTAAGGTTACAAAAATTTTTTCACCTCTGTTTTCTGCTAGAAGTTTTACAGTTTTTGGTTTTATATGTAGGACTTATGATCCATCCTGAGTTAATTGTTATATGTGGTACAAAGTATGGGAAATACTTTTTATTTTTTACATATAGTCCAGTTGTTCCAGCACCAATTGTTTAAAAGACTATCCTTTCTTTATTGAATTGCCTTTGTCAATAAATATGTAAGTCTATTTTTGAACTCTTTATTCTGTGCCATTGATTTACATTCCTAGTTAATATTGGTTTCTGTTTGAATATGGTTGTGTACTTAGGAGCCAGGCTGCCTAGGTCTGAGGCTGAGCTCAAGCATTTACCCCATGACCTTGGGCAAGTTATTTAGCCTCTGGAGGCCTCAATTTTCTCATCTATAAAACAGAGATAATTATAGTACACAACCCTCATAGGGATTTTTATGAGGATTGAGTGAATAATTATAAAGCACTTAGAATGGTGGCTGGAACCTATATAGCATTTCTTATACTCCTGGGTCTTATTTTGAACTTCTGTCATGACTGGATTTCCATTGAAATTAACAAATTCCATTATTTCATCTCAGATCATCATTATGGAAGTTTAACTATGAGATGAATTTCAATGAAAATTTTATATCACTACTCAGTAAAAGATTAAGATGTTCACTTTTGTCTTCTGTTAGGGAAATGATGTTTAACTTAGTTTAGTAGCTGTATCAGGTGAATTCCAACTCCTGAAACATTTCTCTGATTTTGAAAGTATATCCATTACCTTTTACAGATCATAGTAAGAAATACAGCCTAAACTAACCTACTTCATAAGTGGCTCTTGTGAAAAAGGTAGTTTAAAACATGGCCTTTCCATGTTTGTTATTTTAGGCACTTTACTTGCAACATTATTATGGTACTAAGCTTAAGGTTGTTTATAACTTTTATTTTAAAGAACTTTGAGTAATTGTTCAAAAAGTACAGCAACCTAAGTCCTAAATTTCTTCTTTATAGACCATATCGAGAGTCCAGATAATTTTATACTATAGAATTCTTTAGCTATAGGATTAATTTCTCTCCATGAACAAGAACTGAAGTGTCCAGAGAAAATTCTTAGAAGAATAGTAAATTACATTGAACTCCTCAGCATTGGCAGCTGTTATGGACTGAATGTTTCTCCCCCCACCCTCCAAATTCATATGTAGAAACCCTAACTCCCAGTGTGACTGCATTTGGAGATGAGGAAGTAATTAAGGTTAAATGAGGTCCTAAGGGTGGGGTCCTGATCTGATAGCATTAGTGTCCTTCTAAGAAGAGACATTAGAGAACTTGCACTGTACCCACCAAGGAAAGGCCATGTGAGGATATAGGAGAAAGGCAGTCATCTTCAAGCCAGGAAGAAATTTCTTACCAGAAACCAACCCTGATGGTACCTTGGTCTTGAACTTTCCAGCCCCCAAAAATGTGAGAAATAAATTTCTGTTATCTGAGTTACCCAGTCTGTGTTATTTTGCTATGGCAGCCACACTTAGTTGGCTTGGGATGCTAAAACAAAATACCATAGATTGGGTGGCTTAAACAACAGAAAATTTTCTCACAGTTCTAAAGGTTGGAAAGTCCAAGATCAAGATGCCAGTCGATCAAGTGTCTGGTGTCAAAGATTAAATACATCCTCATGCTACAGACCAGTGTTCCTTCTAATCCATTATGTAAAACAAGTACCACATTTATTGTGCAATATTGAGTAAATAACTTTAAGATAGTTTGCTAATGATTACCATGATTAAATGATTGGATTTTTAGTACTGTATCTATGAGAGCCTGTTTCTGGTGCATGAATAGTTCTGCATAAAATTTATATACCCACAAAGCGATAAAACAGTGCAAGTAGATTCAAAAGTAATTTGGAAAAATGCCCTTTTAGTGACTATATTTTGATAGGCCAGTTAAACTTTAAAAAAGGAATCTGACTGATTCCAGGCATACTATTTATAAAATTATGTGAGCTTTCAATTAGAGTATCTAACGATAGAAATGGTGGCATTTGAAAAATTACATTGTAGGAATAGCTCAATGAATGTTTGACTCAGATTTGTACCTTCAGGTTCTTCCATTTTCTGGAGTATATTGCAGAAATCAATCAGGGTTTAGAAACTAAGACCCATTCATTAATTTATGGAAGGATAGAGAAATATATTTCTATGTGGGTGTACTTCCAATTTCAGAAATTTTTTAAGAAGCAGAAGTTTTAAAAGTAAAGCATCAGAAAAAGAAAACGAGTCAGGCTGGGCTGGTGTGGCTCAGTGTTTGAAGTCAACCCATGGTAAGGGCACACTGAGCCCGGGTTTTGGGCTCAATCCCCAGTAGGGGGCATGCAGGAGGCAGCCGATCAGTTATTCTCTCTCATCATTGATGTTTCTATCCCTCTCCCTTCCTCTCTCTGAAATCAATAAAAAAAATTAAAGAAAAAGGTCAGAGCTGAAATATTCCTTAATATCATCCAGTATTCTGTGTGTATGTGTGAGAATTTCTTCAGTTGTTTCAAAAAAGTGATTTTACAGTTGGTATTTTGAAACAGGATCCAAATACTGTCCACACATTGGTTGATATGACCTTGAGTCTTCCTTTATCTATAACAGTTTCCTCCTGTTTTTCCCTCATGCCTTTTGAAAAAAAAATATTCTATTCATTTTCTAACTATGCTACAGTCACTGAGAGTAGGAAGTATTATTTCAGCACTAAGAATTATGCCTGGCACCCATAGACAATTAATATTTATTAAATAATGTTAATAATACTCAAGGTCTGTGTTTTGTCCCCACAGGTTGATCCAAAAGACTACGTGTTCAGTGGACTGAAGAATGAAACAGTGGGTCGCTTACCTGGGAAGGTGGCTGGACAACAGTTTCTCATTCAAGACTGTGAGAGCTGTAACATCTATATTTTTGATCACTCTGCTACAATTACTATTGATGACTGTACCAACTGCATCATTTTTCTGGGACCTGTGAAAAGCAGTGTGTTTTTCCGCAATTGCAGAGATTGCAAGTGCGCACTGGCCTGCCAACAGTTTCGTATGCGGGACTGTAGAAAGCTGGAAGTCTTTTTGTGCTGTGCCACTCAACCTATTATTGAGTCTTCCACAAATATCAAGTTTGGCTGTTTTCAATGGTACTACCCTGAATTAGCTTTCCAGTTCAAAGATGCAGGGCTAAGTATCTTCAATAATAACTGGAGTAATATCCATGACTTTACACCTGTGTCTGGAGAAGTCAACTGGAGCCTTCTTCCAGAAAATGCTGTTATTCACAACTATGTTCCTCTACCTACTACCAATGAGCTCCAAGCTGTCCGCATTTCCACAGAAGCCAATAGAAGTATCGTTCCTGTAACCCATGGTCAGAGACAGAAGAACAGTGATGAGTCATGCCTAGTGGTATTATTTGCTGGTGATTATACTATCGCAAATGCCATGAAACTAATTGATGAGGTAAGGAGAGACAGGAGAAAGATGAACATACACCTGGTTAGAAACACACCACTTTGCAGAGAACTTTCATTCTTTTCAACTTGGCTATGAGAAATACAGATAATCTTTAAGTTATAGTCTTTTTCCCCCTACAGATTTATCTGTAAGCTGAATGTTTAGGTTTCAAAATACTTTCCCAAAGAAAATTTTTAAAAATATAATCCCATTCAGTAAGCATTTATTAAGCACGTATTACATGCGAGTTACTCTGTTACTATATTTCATTGATTATAGGATGCCTATTTGTTTTTGTACATTTTTGTTATCTGAAATGCATCTTACAATTGATGCCAACTTAGAGCTGTTGAAATATAGTATATGCTGGGGTTGGAGATACATTGACAAAATTCTCTGCCCTCAAAGAACTTCCATTCTTTATAATAAGTGATTTCCACGGAAGTTCACAAAGTGTAGTTCTGCATAGTAAAGCTTGACCTTTTATGATTATTTAGTGGGGAAATTTACTTCGAGTTTTAATTGGTCAGGAAGTGGGAAAGACATTTAGGAATACAACTTTCAGAGCCTGTTGTAACCATGAGAGCAACCTTTACATTACTTTCCTTTTTGTCCTTCGCCCTATTGCCATGAAGGAAAGGTTGGTGCAGAAGAATGAGGTGGGAGCTAGGATAGCAGAGGTCATGGGCTCATGAACAGGGGCTTTTGGTGAGTTTGTGAATAGAGAAAGGTTTTTGGGTAGCAGCTTCCACTTGAAATATAACTAGGGCTGTAGAGGTTAGGGGCTCCAGAAGCAGCAGTTCCTGTGTTGATAGGTGCTCCTGTAGGGAGGCAGCGGCAGTATATCTGATTATCCATTCATCAGACATTCTTCAGGAGGAGTCTGTTTGAATTTAAAAAGTCAAACTTCCATGGAATGGAGAAGTGAATGGAAATATCAGCAAGTCTCTTTTGATTAGACTTTTAAAGAGTTGTAACAGTTATGTCAAGAGGAACAATTTTAGGGAAAAAACACTAAAAATGACTACCTTTTGTAGATATACAGTCTACAATGTAGAAAACTCATGTCTGAAATCTATAAAGTATATCTGAGATCTAGTTTTCAAAACAACAGAAGCGATAGTATAATTTTAAGACTTTGATATTTTATTTTTTTTATTATACCAATCTGATGAAAACATGCTATGAATCTGGTAAGATCTAGAAAAAGTGTTTCTAGCCTTTGAGTTATCTAATAAGATGTTAATTCAACATCTGAGAGGAAAATCTTTTCATTATAATATATAGCAGTTTTTTAAAATCTACAAATAGTTTTCAAAAGGTGTAATTATTCAGGTTAAATTCCTTTTTGGTAGGTAATGAGGAGTGGACATAAAGAATATATAGTACTAGAGGCCCAGTGCACGAATTTGTGCACAGGTGGGGTCCTGAGGTGTTGGAGGAGCCAGGTGGTGGGATGCCCTTGCCAGCCCGGGATCTGGATCTGTCCTGCTGACATTTGCACTAGTTGTCGGGAGCCACCTGGTGGCCACTTTTATATTGTTTCTTCCTTGTGGAGTGTCTAGGGAGGGAAAGCAGCTGTGGTGCCGGAGGCCGACTTCCAGGAGGCCAGTGGCACTGTTGGGACTGTGCCTGCAGCACTGGTCCATCGGTGCCTGGCCTGTTCTCCAGAGATTGGACCTGCAGGACTACTGAGGCAGTGAGTGGCTGCCACCAGGCTGGTGGGCCACCTGGATGGGTCAGTCAACTGAGCGGTGCTCCTGCTGTGGGAGTGCACTGACCACTAGGGGGCAGTTCCTGCATTGAGCGTCTGCTCCCCTGGTGGTCAGTGTGCATCATAACGACCGATTCCAATCGTTCCAGTTGTTTGGTCTTAACAGTAGCTTAGGCTTTTATATATATAGTATGTTTAAATAAAAAAGCCATCAAGCCTGGCCAGTGTGGCTCAGTGATTGAGTGTTGGCCCATGAACCAGGAGGTCACAGTTCGATTCACAATCAGGGCACATGCCTGGGTTGTGGGCGCGATCCCCAGTGGGGAGTGTGCAGGAGATAACCGATCTGTTTCTCTCTCTCTCCATTCTTCCCCTTCCTCTCTCTAAAATCAATAAAAATATATATTTTTAAAAAGCCCTCAAAACAAACACTGTCTTCATGTGTCATCAGGTGTTCTTAACCTTTGTATCTGATATGTAAAATGACAGTGTTGTGTGCCCTTAACACTAGATTGCCCAAGGAAGTCATTTTGACTGCTTTTTAATTTCAATTAGAAAAACAATGATGTATATAATGACAGAATTTCTTAGAATTCTGTGACTTTTTATACAACATATAAATGCGTTTATTAATAATTGTAGTTACCTCCCCCTCCTTCATTTCCGGTATATATATATATATATATATATTATACATATATTGAAAGAAAGCAGTC